ATGAACTCTTACAGGCCTATAAGTCTTCTACAAGTTTTATCAAAAATTTTTGAAAGATTGCTATTAAATAGAATAATGACAATACTTAGCGAAAAGCATGTAATTCCACAATATAAATTTGGTTTCAAAAAGCTACATTCTACTTTTGACCAAGCCCACAGGATAGTACAAGAAATAGGCAGAACGTTACAAGAAAAACACTTTCACTCAGATGTATTCTTAGATCTATCCCTAGCATTTGATAAAGTATGGCACGAAGGACTTTTTTACAAACTGAAATTAATTATGCCGGAATCATTGTATCTAATTTTATGTTCATTGTTGATGATACATACATCATGGCGCATGACGCAAATCCAGAAGTTGCATCAGGTAATCTCCAACAACACTTATTTCTCATACAAAAGTGGCTCACTCCCTGGAGGATGAATGTCAATAGTCAAAAATCCAAGCATATCACGTTCACGCTCAAAAAAGAAATCTGTTCGCCAGTAACAATATTTGGAGAAAATATCCCACAAGAAACATCTTACATATTTTAAAGAGGAAACGCCAGATCGAAGAGAAAATCAAACAACTCTACTCAATTTTCGGGACTCACTCTCGGCACCCAAATACGTACCAGGCTGGCTTCTCTATCAGGATACAAATTTGATTACTGTGCAGGAGGAAATACATCGATACGCTAAGAAGCATGCAGAAAGACTAGCTGATCACCCGAAAGATCTGACCAGAATACTGCTTGAAGACGACATCTCTAACAGGCTAAACAATTAAAATTAAAGTTACAATTATGTCTCTAGAGCAATATGTATCGAACACAACTTAATTTACTATAGTAAGGTGGAAGTAACAGAGGTTACTTACATAAATAATCACCATCAATTACAGCCTCAGATTAAATTTATACCAATATATTTACTAAATATATTTACCGTACGGACAGTTGTAAATCTTTTATGTACCTGTAGCTCCAAATACTCTGGCGAATCATCAACTGATTATTGTTTTCGTCAAATGTGAGTTCGAGCGGCACCCATACAGCATACAGTTTTTTCAAATTCAAATATTCTTGGACGATATGTCCAACACGTTCTATTGATATCTTTAGGATGTCAGCTATTTTAGCAATTTTACTTTTTGGTTTTCTTAAACGATTCATTGATTTTTTATGTTTTTCGGTGTAACCATTACAATTGGACTTCCAGAGCGTTCAGCGTCTTCTTCGTCATTTGCCTCGATTTAGCAGAGTCTAGATAACAATTATCAAGTGATACTTTGGCTGTGATGGTATTCTTATCTATCAAAAAGCAATGTTAAATCAATACACGAAATTGCTTTGAATTCATAGCTATGAAAAACTCAAAAGTGTACTTGTAAATTAATCGTCTGATAGTCATGAAATTTTGACAGATCTCTTTTATATATTACAGTGGCGTCGGAACCGTAATTAAACATCTGTTGTCTGTTGTTGTCAAATTGTTTTTTATTCATTGGATTTATTGTTGGGAAAAGAAACATATATGAATTTATTGAAAAAATGCAGGACTTGTCTATTAAATATATAGATCTCGATCAAATGATCCGGTAAAACTCGAAAACGGCTAAGCCGATTTGGCCAGTCTTAGTCTTGCAAAATTCGTGCTAATCAGTAGGTTGTCGGAAAGGTGAGATATTATTTCAAAATCGCGTAGAAACTTTACATTTTTAATTTGAAAATTTTTGTAGAATAATTTAAATGAAACAATGAACGGAGGCTAATACATCAAATGTCAAACGTTTTTGACAGATGATAGGATATTTTCGTGAATATTATTTAATTATGATTAAATTGTAGTAAGAAGTTTTGTCCATAGTTATATTTATACACAAAAATGGATCGCAAGTATTACTGGAAACTCAAAATATCAACTTTTTTGAAATGTCAATATGAAAATGCACTTTTAGGCATATTTTTCTCAAACACGATGCTCTGAAAGATCTCATTTGTATAATTATATACTCATTGGTATTTATAAAACATTTTCTAGGTTGTATTATTTTTTATTTATGTTATTTAAATTCAGAAACTAAATTTGGTATCGATCAAAGGGACATTTTGTCGAATAACATTTTCCCAGTTATAAATTCCCAGAACTTATAGAAAAATAGATAGTATTTATTTATTTATTTATTTTACAAGCCGTCGGTATATTAATATTATAATAAGGCTCAAGTCAATATTATACAGGTTTAATATAAAGGGTTTTTCCATACAGAATTGGCCCCACCCTGGTATTTAAATAATTTTGATGTCATTTTATAGGTATTTTCGAGAAAATCCGATATACCAAATTTCAAATCCGTAGCTCATCATTTGGCCGAGATATCAGTGAAAACATGTGAAAGTGGCCCCTTTTTTCAAACTCATTTTTTGTCGGGAATATGAGAGATATCGAAAAAATGTTAACGTCATTCTATTTATACTGATCTTGTCTATGTTGTTCATATTATAATAAATATTGTTTAATGATTATTTTTTAGTGCCTGAAAAAGTGAAAATAATTTTTTGTTTTTAATTTTTGGGTAGTGCGGTTGTTTGGACTAATTTTTAATTAGCATCATTAAAAAGGCTATTCAATTTTCGGGTAGTGCGGTGGGGTCAATTCTGTATGGAAACACGCCCATACCCATTAATTAACTATTAGCTGTTAAAATTATTAAATTTTAGGTTGTTTTATGATTTTTTAACAAATTTAAGTGTCCTATATTATTATTATTATTATTATTATTATTATTATTATTATTATTTATTATTATCATTATCATTATCATTATTATTATTATTTTTATCATTAATATTAGCATTATTATTATTATTATCATTATTAAGTATTTTTACAATATAAGTATTATCTTTTACAAATTTTCAGGTATTTTGATGAAAGAAATATTTTGTTTGACAATTTTTTGAGTTTATTTAATAAGTATTTTAACAATAAAAATCATATAAAAATAATTATTATAAAAAAAATAATAATAATAGTAATTTAGAAGTATTTTTGCAACAGAAGTATTTAGTTTAACTAATTATGCTGTGACGAGCTTAGAATATATGAAGTAATATATGTCAGTGGTCCACCACCGATGTGTCAAAAACCAGTCAAGTTAAGTACTGTTTAACAAAGATATTTGAAAGTAGAGGAAAAAAGATGTATAACCCGCTATAACCTAGATTTTCATGACTGCTATCGAGAGATAAATGGTAATCTTTGAAAACCCATAATAAAAGTGTTTTCATCCGTTGGTAGTTTTTTGGCATTAGCTAAAAATATAATTATTTCGTAAAATACCTTTAAAATTAAAATAAGACATTAAACCTGTTTGCCACTTGGCCGTTCCAAGTTTTTTCATAACGAATTTTTGAAAGACATCAAAAAAGCACGTTTCTACAATGATGGTAGTTTTACTGAAGTTTCTGGCAGTTTTACTGAACGAAGTCAGATAAATAATAATTGTTCGTTTGAAATGTGTTATTATTGTGATATAATTCGTTTGATTATTATAATATAATTAATATTTGCTCAAAGTCAAATTGGACCTTCGTGCTCCGACCTGCTCTACATATATACTTTTTATTAAATTTTCTTTAATTCATCGAATGTTACTTGAAACTTTTCAAAAAATGAAATAATGAAGAAAACAAGAAATACTTAATTCATTTTCTATCTCTTCTGCAGTTTTGCAGAAATTTGAAAATTTTGTATAAGCTCAATAGTATTATTTACAATTATACACAAAATTCAGAATCCAAAAAGAATCTGCAAAACTTCTTAAAATAATAAAAAATAAGTCGAAAGACCAAAAAAGACTTGGTATCGATCATACCATGTTTTCTATAGAAAGTGTATAAAACTTCCAGTTTGATTGTATTGACAAAATATAGACAAACTAATGAGGTTTATTGTTTTTATAATACCTCATTGTATATAGCATTCAAACAACACATCCTAATACACTAAAAGTATTAATTTTTTTGACTCTCTAGAAATTGTTTAGAATATAATTTACTTAGCAAAGCAACGTTTGCCGGGTCAGCTAGTATATATATATACTTGTCTATTAAATATATATATATATATATATATATATATATATATATATTTAATAGACAAGTCCTGCATTTTTTCAGTAAATTCATATATGTTTCTTTTTCCAACAATAAATCCAATAAATAAAAAACAATTTGACAACAACAGACAACAGATGTTTAATTACGACGTTTCGGAACTAGAGACGTTCCATCATCATGTTTCTTCTGTCAAAAATATTTTTATATATACTAACTCTATTCATGACGAAAAATACAGAATATTAAGTAAAAAAGTTTTTTAATATAAAGGAATGGATTATGTACCAGATAAAAGTAAAGAAAAATATATAAAAATAAGAATAAAATATAAAGGAATTAAAAATTTATAGAAAATAAAAAATAAAATTGAGTAGCAAAAATTATTTACAAAAGAACTCAACAAAAGAGTCGAAAAAAACTTGCTAATGAAAATGACGTGAATTAAAAATATGAATCTTTTTAATGGGTATAATTATTGTATGGGTTTTATAACTGAAGAACTTGTTTCTTAATATTTAATTATCTCAATTTTGTTTTAAAATGACAATAATATTATTTTAATGTATAATATATAAGAACAAACAGTATTGTATAGACATCTAAAACCACAAAAAAACTATATAATGAACCGACCCATGAATAGAGTAGCAATTGTGGTTCAATAACAGAGCTCGAAACTAAAGTTTTTAATTCCTTACATAGTACATTTATCAATATTGTCAAAAAGAATAATACTTATTAGAATTTGTTAGCATAACTAGTGTGCATGTGTGGGTGTATGTATATACGTGTGTATATATATAAATAACATAGGATTACATTATTATATAAGTAACTGTATATAGCCGATTGGCGTCTAATAAAATCAAATAAAAATTATATTTTTCAGTCAAAGCAAAAATTCCGGTCATATTCATTTCCAGTTATGAACAAAGAAAAGCGGCAAGTTGTACATGAGATGTGCGAACAGTTTGGCGTGGAGAGCCAAGCCTACGATCCGGAACCAAATCGAAATGTAGTAGCAACCGCAGACAAAGAAAAGGTACGTGGTCCTCATAGTACAACTTTATTAAAATTGTCGTTAGCAATCGCTTGTCAAAAAGTTCTAATGCTCAACCATTAGAGATTGAAAAGTGAAATACGAGGTGTGGCAATTAAGTAATGAGACTGATTTCATAAAAACCGTATATTTCAAAATTATTTTACAACTCTGTCATCCCCTTCAAAGTAATCCCCTTGGGCAGCTATACAACGATTCCAGCGCGTTTTCCATGCTTCGAACATTTCTGGAAGGCGTAGACTGGGAGGTCTGCAAGTACCCTCGTCACGGCCGCCTAGATGTCCTCAATCGACTCAAAATGGGTTTCTTTCACCGACGACTTTGTTCTAGGAAACAAAACAAGTCACTAACATATCAGCCGAATAAGGCGGTTGTTGCAACTCGGCGATACCTTTAGAGGCCAAATACTGGGACACATGAGGGCAGTGTGGCACGGCGCCTTGTCGTGATGAAGGATCCAGTTAAGGGCGATGTCTGAGCGCTCCCTGTTGACTCGTTTTCGCAATTTTTTGACTACTTGGCAATAGTAGACTTGATTTACGGTTTTCCCCGATTGATCAAATTATTTGTGAACGATTTCACGGGATTAAAACAGACAATTATCACCGTTTTCACTTTCCTCATTTTCCACGTTATCACGCCCCTCCTTAAACTCCTCATGTGATCAAAACACCTAGACACGACTAAGAGCACTATCATCCTGCATATTCACAATTTTAGCGTACGTTTCCAAAGCTGTTTCGCCCAATTTTACCCAAAATTTTACCGATCTTTATTTCGTTTTTTTATTTTCGTGACGAGCACCAGGAACACACGTTTACTCAACAAGGCAGAGAAGGCAAGCTAAACAATCCAGAGATATGGCAAATATATCAATAAATAGGGGAAGGATGCCGGGAGAAGGGAAAGGCAAATTTAAGGTTGTAGGGTTACCACAATCGCGGGAATATAATCAGTCTCATTACTTAATTGCCACACCTCGTACAATATGGATCAGGATGAATAAATAATTAATAAATTGTTTGCCAATTTTATAGTAATTTTTAAAAGATATTTGATGAAACTCATTAAATTTCGTTGATTAATTTTTCGTGATAATTTCGATACGGTTAACGGTTGAAGAAAAAAGAATACTCATCTTTTCAAAATATATTCGACCGATATATATTTTGGTCATTTCTTTAAAATAAACTTTTAAATCTTTTTAGTGTGGTTTAAAAGCTTTGAAAAACTTTGAAAATAAAAAATAATGCAAATCATAATTCTACAAGTTTAAAAAATTTAGTGTAAGTGGAAAATTGAATATGTAAATTAATGTAAATACGTGATTGATATATTTTCCAATTATAATTTTGTTATTCCGAAATTATTTCCTTCAAATTGGCCTAATAAATGTGCGCTTTATTTTAAATTCCATCGCCTATAATGCATACGTCAGTTTTGCTGGCAAACCAAAATGCACTCATTATTGACATATTTGTCTACGTTTGTGTTTAAAAATAATATTTTTTTAGAAGTTTTTTTTGTAACATATACAGTACAGGCCAAAAGTTTCCGGATACATGAAAAAAATCTCATTTTCTGAGTTTTTAGCTATATTTTTCATATAAAAATAATTTTATTCAAGTTGGTTTTGTACATTCTACGTAGTATTAATATTTAGTGACTGATTTGTAACCAATTCGTGAGAAATGATAGACTAATTAACAATGAAAATGTTAAAATGTCACTGCAGTCGATTTTCTTGAATATAACCACCCTTTGCTTTGATCACTGCAGCGCATATTTTTGGCAATTTTTCGACGAGTTTTTGCAATGTTTGCGCAGGTATGTTCTTCCAGGACTTGTTAAGGCAATTCCACAGGACAGGGAGGCTGGTTGGATGCAAATCCTTCACGCGGCGTTAAAGCTCGTCCCACAACAGGCCACTCCATTATTTGAAGTATTTTTTCGTCTTTTTTTCGCTTCAAATAATTGGCACAGAGTCGGGAAGTGTGTTTAGGGTCATTATCTTGTTAAAAAATAAATTTTGGACCAATTAAATTAAGACCAGATGGAATGGCGTGGCGCTGAAGTATGCTATGATACTGTTCTTTCTTTAAAGTTCCATGTATTTTGACAAGCGATCCGACTCCATTGAATCCAAAACAACCCCAAGCCATCACTGAACCACCACCGTACTTCACGATGCAAATCGATTTAAGTCCGCTTCAGATATCCGGGCTCAAATCAATGAACGGTTGGATGAGCCAATATCACTCACGACGGTCAAGCGCCGGCTTCGAGAAAAAGGTATGATTTGTTCGTGTTGCCATCAAAAAAACACTTCTACGAGCAGTGAATAAACAAAAGAGATTGCAATTTGCCAAAACCCACATAATTTGGACCATCGATCAACGGAAATCAGTGTTATGGACGGATGAATCAAAATTCGAACTTTTTGGAAATCATCTACGTCAGTATTGTCGTAGGAAGGGTAATGAAAAACTCAATTCTAAGTGTATTTGCCGAAGGTGAAGCACGGTGGTGGTTCAGTGATGGCTTGGGGTTGTTTTGGATTTAATGGAGTCGGATCGCTTGTCAAAATACATGGAACTTTAAAGAAAGAACAGTATCATAGCATACTTCAGCGCCACGCCATTCCATCTGGTCTTAATTTAATTGAACCAAAATTTATTTTTCAACAAGATAATGACCCTAAACACACTTCTCGACTCTGTGACAATTATTTGAAGCGAAAGCCTGCACAATCGCCGGATCTTAATCCAATAGAACTGTTGTGGGACGAGCTTAAACGCCGCGTGAAGGATTTGCATCCAACCAGCCTCCCTGTCCTGTGGAATTGCCTTAACAAGTCCTGGAAGAACATACCTGCGCAAACATTGCAAAAACTCGTCGTAAAATTGCCAAAAATATGCGCTGCAGTGATCAAAGCAAAGGGTGGTTATATTCAAGAAAATCGACTGCAGTGACATTTTAACATTTTCATTGCTAATTAGTCTATCATTTCTCACAAATTGGTTACAAATCAGTCACTAAATATTAATACTACGTAGAATGTACAAAACCAACTTGAATAAATTATTTTTATATAAAAAATATAGCTAAAAACTCAGAAAATGAGATTTTTTTCATGTGTCCGGAAACTTTTGGCCTGTACTGTAGCTTCTGAAACGAGTATAGTTTTCCATTAAACTATGTAAATATAAAATATTTAAATATTATTCTATATTATATTTGTAGAGTTATATGTGTTTTTATATACGTATTATAAAAAATAAAGGAGCAAAAGTTGACCGAAAAAATAAAAAATGTCTTCGGGTGGCCAACCCCTACTACTTGGCATCAATCAAAATATTCGAAAATCTGTCTCGGTATTCACCTAACGATTTTCCAAATTTTCACAATTCCATATAACAAATGAATAGCAATTACACACACAGACACAGTCAGACATACATCCCTTTTTAAGTACCTAGAATATAAGTCATATCAGATGCATGAAAATGAATGTTATTTATTTCAGTGTTGGCTTCCAAGTATGAGCGTTTTAGAAGTAATCCAACGTGAAAGCGGCCAAAGAAAAGTTCCTGTACCATCCTTCATTTTCAAATCAGTACGCCATGATTGATTCTGGATTTGTATTTGTTTATTGTTATGTAATTTTCATATTATTATTAAAATAACATAATTGGAAGTTTGTTTTTATGATTATTAATCTAGGTATTTTTAGAAATTATTTCTGTGGATAGATTTATAATGCTCGTAAAAGTTATATTTATTTATAAGCTAAAATTACGTAAATCAACGTACAAATGTATCATTATTTTTTTTGTTACAATTTATTTTTGTTAATCAAGACTTTAATGTCTTATTTACAAAATTGATATGAGCAAAAAAAATAAAAAAATATAAAAAAATGCAATAAATTGAATATAAAATGAAAAAAAAGTTAAAATAAAAATAAAATCAAAACAGTAATACAAAAATAATAACATAAATGAACTATGACGTGATGCCCGTACTACGTCAGGTCGCGTACAGACATTGGGCTAGGTGTTTGGTAGATCGGAAGGCCATTTCTTGCTCAATCTTCTTAACGGTCTGTGAATCGCTTGAATAGTAGGATTTGTATGCTGGATTAATTTATTGTTGAAAGATGAACTTCTAATCTTGATCATTTCGTTGACAGTTGAGATTTTCAAATCCTTATGTAGGCAAAAGTTCGAAATATACCAAGGCGCATTAGTAAGGATACGCAGAATTTTGTTCTGTCACCTTTGAATGATGTTTATGTTAGATTTGCAAGAGCAACCCCATAGTTCGATTCCATAAGTCCAAATGGGCAATATGATTGTTTTGTACAGAAGTACCTTGTTATCGAGAGAGATTTCACATTTCCTCCCAAAAAGCCAGTAAAAATCTTTTATTTTCAGTTGGATTTGTTTCTTTTTATATTCAATGTGCGTTCTCCATGTCAATTTCGAATCAATGTGCATGCCTAAATATTTGACAGAATTGCATAGTGGAATTATTGAATTGTTCATGATGATAGGTGGACTGTTGATCATGAAGATGATTTCTTTTCTTTTTCGAAGTAAAACTTCTTTAAGCGCGACTAGGGTGTAAATCCGTACAAATGCAACGGAAGTCCGTTACGCCCGAACTGTTCGTCCTTCGTCCTCGATGAGATCATTTCTATACGGGTCGATTGTGATTAGCCGTCGTGTGTGTGAATAGAGATCTGTCGTTATATGCGTACCGGAGTCAACGTTGTATGCGTACCGATATCAACAAGGAAATTGGCAAAAATAATTAAACATTTTAAAGTTACATCGTAGTACAAATTTTGATTTAACAAAAAATGCCTCAATCAGAAGAATATTTTACCCTGTTCCTTGGAAATAATAAAACAAATTAAACATTTGTGCCTTGTTTATTGAAATGTAAAATATTTTTTAGGCAAGACAGATATTACAGTTGTTCAAAGAATGAGATTATATCGCCAGCGAAAAAGTAAAAAAATACCATCAGTCAATGAATGTATGTTAATTTCAATTACACGAAGTTCTTCAAACACAATTATTACATGATGAGTGAAGTTGCAAAAACAATATTTGTTTAGGCGTCGTTTAACACAATCCACTGTGTGAACGAATAATATAGTTAATATAATACTACATTTCTCTAATGAAGGTTCATTTCTAAATGCTAATTGTAATGACAAACCGATCATGTCATATTTGAAGAATGACTTTAATTGCATTATTATTTTTAAATATTATAAATAATTTTAATGCTATTATCAATATATAATTTATAATTTATAATTCATCATTATATAAATATGTATAATGGTTGACATTAATAAATGTGTGCATCACGAGTGTTACCATATATTACTAATAAACATTATTCAAAATTGTTATATGATGTATTTATTTTTACTTAAATGCCATCTTGTACAGTAGCAAATGAGTTTTACCGGAGCGAGTTGAAATTAATCGAGTCTGCGGACCGCAAACATGAAATCTGTAATTATCTTAATTGAATGAATTACAGTAAAATACAACTCTAAAACAACATTAAGCCTAACATTACTATTATCTAAAACAATAACTTCAAGCAAAAATGTTATAATATTGAGATTGTTTATTTAAGGTAAACGTACCATATTACGGGATTTTAAGGAACGTTTGACTTTAAAGACGAATTTTAGAGAAAATAGGAAAGAGGACGATCTAAATCTGTTATATTTCATTAATTAGACCTTTAAGATTATTATAAAACAAGATTTTTTGTCGTAGAACGTCATTTATAGAAATAATCGGCATTTTGGTGAACTACGCGTTTGTCTCTAATTCCGTGATAAAATTCGGTTCGTGAATATAATGCCGGGAGTCGCTGTACACTATTACGTGATAGCGCTCGAAGCATACATTTTTGATCGTATTGCCTTGATAAATATAGATGAATATGTTATAAAAAGTACGGTTAATTATAAAATAATACTTTGATATGATTTTAAACACTTATTTAGTTTTGTATTATAAAAATCATAAAAATATAAGAAGTTGAAAAACTTCTAAAATAAAAATAAAATAAAAGCTGGTATTATTATATTAATAGCAGTATAATAATCATTATCAATACTGTTTCGGTAAATCAAATAAATGAAACAATATAGGAATAATTTTTAACGGCAATTAAACAAAAATATAAACTTAAAATAAATATAAAATTTAAACTCAGAAGAATTAAACTTGAAATAAAAATTACAATTCTGCCAAAAAACGTAAATCTTTAAAGACTTTGAAATAATCTTTAAAGACTTTCAAGTTAACAATAACTCTAGCTTAAATTAGATTTGATCGGAAATTCTGTATGTTTTAGAAGCTTTAAAATACATTTAAACTAATATGGCAAATTTCTTTTAATGCCTTTTCCAGGGTTTTGGGTGAATATTTAATTGGAGCTATCATTCTTTGAAAAACTGAAAGACCGATTTAAAATCAGACCCAAATAAATTTACTGATATTGAATATAATTTTAATAATATTTAATAAACTGTATTAGACTATTAAAAAGTTACTGCATTGAAGAGTAGCCTCGGCAACTTATTTTCGAGTAATTGCAATTCATATTAATTTAATAACTTACGATGTATGTTCGTTTTAATAATATGCAGGTTATATAATGGTTATATTCCAAAAGCTTAGTCGGATTAAAACTATCGTGTTTACAGGAATGTCCCTAGATCTCTGCATGCATACATACATACCAGCGCCCTAATGAATCCGCGCCCTATAAGTACCGTGTGCTATACGGGGTATACCTGTATTTTTATTCAATTTATATAATAGAAATAATTGATCATAGATGAAAAGGTAGAAATAAATGATTCTTTCATTACTACAATATTCTAGGTATATTGGAACAATGCAAATAAGTAAAAAAAATTGTGTACTTTCTTACGAAAGAGTAGTCATTTCAAACTCAATTTTTAGGGTTCAAAATTTAAAAAAACATATACCGTAATTACGTTACAGTATTCTGTAGTTATTAACAAACTTATTAACACCAGAAACATCGCCGAATTTAAGCACAGTTGAAAATAAAAGATAAAACTATTTCAAGTCTACTTCTCGTAATTGCGGGATACTCACGGATTTACGTTCACAGGTTCAGATGTGTGAACCTAATTGCGGGAATCATGAAATTGACAATTTCTTGACAAATATATGCTCGATTTAACTATAAAACTAATCTCTTATTATTACTGATCAAAAATTTCACACATTTGAATCGATTAAGCTTATTGGAATCGAATAAAAACCTTAAGCAATGGAACCGTCACATAACCTAACTCGCTAACAAGCTAGTACGAAATGGCAATCGGGTTACGACCGATGCTTTCAAAAGCTTTTTACGGCTTTAAAAACTATTATTTAAATTCGAAAATCGTACTATTTTATTAGGATTCAAATTATAATTGATGTGCTATAAAGTATAATTGATTGAATAAAATTATTATTTTGAAATGAAATTTTTCTGATGGTAAAAAAAATCCTTTAAATATCCGTTACGCAATTTTCATTTGAGTCAAATATCTGGAATATAATAATTAAGCGCAGTATCAAAAAAGAATATAATATGAAAATAATTGTAATGATAAAATACATAAGGTAGAAAAATGTTATAATAATTTGAAATAAAAATTAGAAAAAGTATGAATTAAAAAAATAATTGTAACTGTTGTAAAAAAAAGTATCAGATATTATAAGTAGGCATTTCATTATCAAAATATTATTTGATATCGAAATTGGCAAATTCAGAAGTATCGTAGAAACTTTGGACTTTTAAAAGTTTAACGATGGTATTGTGAAATTGACAAACACTAAATTTCCCTCTACATCTTTTTCCCTCTACTTTTCAATTCCTTGTTAAACAAAGCTTAACTTTACTTTTTTTGTTTTTGACACATAGCTGGTGGTCCTTTTTAACCTCGGACCTTCATATAATACTATCTATTCTTTGATAAATTCTGCGAAATTATAACTGGCAAAATGTTATTCGGCAAAATGTCCCTTTGATCGATACCAATTTTAGGTTTTGAATTTAAATAACATAAATAAAAAATAATATAACCTAGAAAATGGTTTATAAATACCAATGTGTACGAGGTCTGTTCAAAAAGTACCCGGAATTTTCGTTTTTTCAAAAAAATATTTATTTATTCGTCTACATTAATGTGGTCCCCTTCAAAGTAGTCCCCCCCAGATATAATACACTTATGCCAGCGTTTTTTCCAATTTTCGAAGCACCCTTGATATTCACTTTTTGATATGTCCTTGAGCACTCTCAGCGATTTTCTTCAATCGAGGAAAACCGCCGTCCTTTCATGGGTCTCTTCAACTTTGGGAATAGGAAAAAGTCACACGGAGCCATATCTGGTGAATTTTTGCACTTTGCAACACTTTATTTCATTTTTTACGCAAAATTTAATACAAATTCTTTGACTTTTCAATTCTTCCATTGTAAAAATCGCCGAGCTCAGAAAAACACGTCGAACCTTAGCGACTACCACAGACAAAGTAAACAGTGAATATAGCTGAAAATTTCATCATACTT